CAAGAGCAAATCTGTGGTGGCTCAAACACAGACAGAGGCCCGGGAGCTGTGCCACCCTAGGCGGCTCTGATGGCCTCTCTCACTGCTTTGGAGTCAGCCAACTACAGCCCATGGGACAATATCTGGTCACCATTCATTTTCACAAACACAGTTTTTCTTGAACATAACCATGCCCCTTGATTTGCTTACTGACTGGCTGCTTTTATGCTACAGTGGCAGAGGTGAATCATTGTGACAAGAGACTGTATGGCCTGCAGAGCATAAAATGAGGGCCAACTCAATGGGCATGCAACCCACAGGGCCCTGGGCTTAGAAGATGCCACCAGCTCAGTTTAATGCTCTGCTGCCACTGTCTTGAAATTCTTAATCACATTTTAGCAAGAGGCCCCACATTTTTGTTTTTGACTAGGTTCTGCAAATTATGTGGCCATTTCTGCCAAAAAGATTTATTTTCTGGCCCCCAAAGTTTGCTTATCTTTCTACTTTTCCAGTCCTAGACTCCCTTTTTCTCTCTGTCTTAACAATTCTAGACTCAGGAAGCTCACCTCTTTCTGAAGCAGCATATTACACTTCTGGAAAGCTGAGAGACTGGTTAACCTGGTACCCTTAACAGTAATCCTATTGGCTATCATTAAGAGGGCCTACAATGAGCCAAGCACTGTGCTGAGTGAAGCCGAAGTCTGCCACTTACTCACCAGTCCTCGAGACCTCTGAAAATAAATCTCATCCCTTAAGCCTTCAGGGATTTAAGTCAAGTTCATCTGTCCCTCCCCACTGAATCTTCACTTTTCCAACCCAAAAATGTTGTTTCTCATAAGACACATTTCTAGCCCTTGCACTATCTTACTCACCCTATGTAGATACCGTCTAGTTTGCCAAAACCTCTCTTATATCATGAAACCCAAACAAGGCTCCAAATGTAGTCTGGCCAGTACAAAGTTGGGTAGATCAGTCACCTCCACCATTCTAGATGGTATATCTCTATTAATGCATCCCAAGATGACATTGCCCTTATTGGAAGCCATTCCAAAAATCTCCAAAACCTCTGGTAGGAATCAGGTACCAAAAACTGGTAAGAGGAGATGGTGTTCTTATCCTCACTATATAGATCAGAAAATTGAAGCCTGGAGGGGAGTGACCTGCTGATTGGTACATGGCCAATTACTCCCAGTTCTTCTGTCTCCAAATATCAGGCTCTCCCCTCCACAACCAAGGCTCTTTGGGTCCTCAGTTTCTGCATTCTCTTCCAGCTCTCGAATACTGTGATTTGTCTTTTAAGTGCATTGTCCAAAGGCCAAGTAGTGAAAAAGAAAATAGCAGCTCTCTGCTTAGATCTAATACTCCTAGGAAAAATAGAAGTTTCTTTTTCTTCTACTTGTCCAAGCCTTACCTGTCTTGGAAATGTTTCATAAATGATAAATCCTGCTTGTTAACAGTAGCTCTAAATTGGACAGTTAATTGAGTCATTGGATCACAGTGCCATGACGATGTTCTTGGCAAGTTCGTATCATCTTTTCTATTATTCTCCCTTTTCACACTCCACAAATTTATGTTTTCCTGCAAACACCGTTTTCAAAGATTTTTTTCTCTCTCTCCCTTAGCAAGTGGAACAACAACAAAATGCCTTTCAAATAAGAACACAGAGTCCTCTGTAAAACCCCAGACACAAAATGGGCTTCAAAAAGTCACTCTCCGTCCCTCACTGCACTCCTGTGTCCGGAGCATCGCCCCGGGGCTGGCTGGAAAGCTTCATCTTTCAGTATGTTCTTCAGACCATTTTATCCATGGGTACGTGAGCCCGCTGGTGCCCGTGTGTGAGGTAGAGTCACCACTCCCATCTGACAGGTGAGAACACTCCGCACAGAGAAGGTCAACAGTTGCTGCAGGGTCACAAATCTGCTCAGTGTGGGGTCAGGACTGACAGTTCTGGGGTAAGTGCTCTTTCCACTCCATCGTCTTTGGAAAGAGGACTGTCAGAATGAAATGGGAGACAGCTCCTTCTCTGCCTCTGCCTCTGGCATCTGGCTCTGTCCACTCCACAGCCGTGATTCCAACCATCCTTCTGGTCCAGCTGAAGGGCTATCACCTTCAGAGAGCACTCCCTGGCCACCTCAGGTCACAGCATTTCCTTCCTCCCAAATCCAAAATGTGTGGATCTCATCCACAGCCTTGGCGCTCGGCAGGGAGGGCCAGCCCAAAGCAGTGCCCCCTTCACGTGACAAACAAGCCAGCTGACGCACACCAAGGGAGCCTTAGCCTGGTATGAGCATGTGGTAGACCTCAACTCTGCCACTTACTACCATTATTACTCTTTGTTCCAACTACCGTGACCATGAAACAAGCTACCCCAAAATTTAGTGCCATAAATAAATAAAGGGTTTGCTCATGGACTCTGTGGTTTAGAAATGCAGACAAGGCACAGAGAGAACAGCTTGTCTGTGTTCCATGATGTCTGGGTTTCAGTTGAGAGGCGTTGAAGGTTTAGGGGTGACTTGAAGACTGGGGACTGGAGTCGTCCAAAACCTCACTCATTCACAGGCCTGACAGCTGACCTTGGCTGGCAGCTGAGGACCTCAATTCCTTTGCATGTGGCCTCTCCACATGGCCTGGTTAGGGCTTGGTCACAGCATGGCAGCTGGGTTCAGGGACAAGAATCCTAAGAGGAGAGAGCCCAAGAGCTGTATCCTTCTACGGCCTGACCCACCGGTCACTTCGTGTCACGTCTGCAGTGGTCTGTGAGTCAGGATAATCTAACCCCTGCCCCATTTACAGGGGAGGAGCCCAGACTTATCTCTTGGTGGAAGGAGTGTCAGTCCCGCTCTAAGGGTACAGGTGTGGTCCTCTTGGAAAAACGCAGTCTTCCATGATCATTTTGGTTATCCCTTACCTTCACTTCTCCTTTAGGGGGAGTCTCCTGCAGGTGTCGCCTCCATCCCTTGTGACAATACTGCGGCCCCAGCTATTCACCAGATGTATCTGGTCCTGAGGCAAACAGAGGTCAAAGCTCATGCTCACATCCCTGCCACACCCCACATGGACGCAGTCAGCAACCTTACTTCTTTGTGTCAATCTCCTTGCAGGAGGACGTACATTTCCCTAGGACCTGGGCACACTGGCAGGAGGGTGAAAACAAACAAATAGGTGATTTCTAAGAGATTTAGCAATAGAGTCTTCTAGCTGCCTCCCATTTATCCCAAGTGACACTGTAGGGGCTGCCAATGTGCTCAGCTAAGACATGAAGAAATAAACAGAAGTTGGCAAATGGGACTTGTGGGAAAGCTTTGTAATGGAGCTGACTCAGGTGGCATATGCCTTTTCCGACCCCTCAACTTTTCCTCTTCTTGGCTATACTCAGATATGATGGCCGGAAGAGCCACAGCCATCCTGTGCTAATGAGGTGGCTTTGAGAAGAGCAGAAGAGAAAGATGGCAGCCTGGTGGCTGATGACACCATGGAGCCACCACAGTAGTTCTGAATTACCTGTTTGTATTATGTGAGAGAGACAAAAAAGTCCCTTCCTTGTATAGGCCACTATTATTTTGTATCATTAATAGTAGTAGTCAAGTGCAATTACTGAAAGAGCCCCTTTTACTTCCGATTTTTGGTTAGTCTTCCTGCCTCAAACTTTACCCAGATCCAATTACCAGGGATCTTCCTCAACACAAATCTGATAAAGACCTTCTGCTGCCCCAAAGTCTTCAGTGGCTTCGCAGCACCTCTAGATAAAACCCATATTCTTTCATATGACATTCAGATCCTGCATTCCCAGGTCATAGCCCAGCCAAATTTCCTGCCTCACTTCTCAGACATCCCATGCTCCAGCCACTTCACACTTCTCAGCATTTTAGTTCACACCAGTCCTCTGATATTTATAGTCTTCCTACATGAAATGTTCTGGGTGGTGAACTTCTTTCTGCTTGCCCTTTTACACCTACCACTAAAACTGCCTCCTTTAGGAAGCCTTCCCTGATGTTCTCAGAGAAAGGCATTGCCTCACATGGATGTGCAAGCCAAGTTTTGTAAAACATCTCCGATCTGTAACACTTGCCACATGCTATTATAATTACTTATTTTTTGATTAGTTGGTTCCCTAGCCTGTGAGCTCCTCATGGCAGAGGAGGTATCCCCAGCTAGTGCACAAATCCTGAATGAATGAGTAGGTGGATGGATGAATTGGAAGCACAGCCCCTGGTATGTAGGGAGACTCAGAGTCTCCATCCTTCATGCTGGGGGCCTCAACTGACAGCAGTTGGAAGAGGCCACAGGAAAACTCAGCAGGTACCTAAGAGAGGGGCCTTCCTCTGAAGCCCATGCAGTGCCTGGAGCCCACGGGGACCCTGAAAGCATCACTAGAGGAAGGGTGAAGGGCAGGATTAACGTGGACTTCAGATCCCCTCCAAGTGGCACCAAGAAAGCAGAGAAGTGGGGGCAACTCCATCAGTGGTCTCCCCCACTGTCTCACCCTCCAGCCGCACCCTATACCACAGTCCATCAGCTCTCCTCCAGGGCAAAAACCTCAGAAGTGGGAAAACCTCAGCCCTGTTCCAGGCCACCAAATAGCGATACGGTATACTAACTACTCTCTGCTGATAGCATTTCAATTCCCGAAGCCCCTTCCCAAGTATGGCCTCATCTCCTCCTCTCCACAATGGTTGGCAGAGCCCAGATCGTGATTATTATGGCCCCTTTAGAGGTAGGCACATGGTAGCCCAGAGAGGGGAGGTGCGCCCCTGTCTCCCCTCCCAGAGGAGCAAATTCCAGGGCCCCTCACACACAGCCCAGCCACCCCAGTGGCCCACAATGGATGCCAGGCCCTTCGCTTTTGCCCTGTGAGGCCCTGTGCCCACAGCAGCCCCCTTTAAGGAGTGCTGGGCCTTCCAGCAGAGTTCCAGTCTTAATTTTAGCTTGGAGGCCTGCCACTGAGGCTTTAGCGAGAGGCAGGCTGAAGTTATGTGAGACAGCTGTCAGCTGGTATGCTGGGTGGGGCCTATTTAGCCGGCAGGAGCCCAAGTCTGGGGACACTGAACGGTGTCTCTGCCCCAAGTCCTTTCAGACCCTGTGGCCACAGAGCTCAGCTCTCCTCGGGCAGGTCTCCCTGGCTCCGTGATGATGGCCGAGGAGCACACAGACCTGGAGGCCCAGATCGTCAAGGACATTCACTGCAAGGAGATTGACCTGGTGAACCGAGACCCTAAGAACATTAACGAGGACATAGTGAAGGTAGGCTTGGTAGGCCTGCCCGGGCACAACACTTGGGCGCTGGAAGGGGGAGGGCTCTGCTGCTCCACACACAATCAGCTTCCCAGAGAAGCGACCCGCTTCCTCTGTCTTCTCCAAATTCCCCATCAAAAGCCAGCTTGTCCACTCCAAAGAACATTTAGCATAAATAAGAGCAAAGAACTGACTGCCCAGAGAAGACCCTGGTATTGGCTGGGGCGGGGGAGGCGAGTCACAAAGGGAAGTGATTCCTTACCACTGTGAAGTTCTTCCCATTACCTCCCAGCCCTTATCCCGACACAAAGACAAGGAATGCCAACTTGGGCTCTTTTCCATGCCAGGGGCAATTTCTACGGTCTCCACAGTGGGCGCAGGGTTAATCCCCAGAGGGTAGCTCCCAGCAGGGCTGGTGGCTTCCCGAGCACTGCTGGGTGTCCACTGCCCACAGCGTGGGTGCCATGCCCAGCACTCCTGCCAGCTCCCTGCCTGACCCCTGGGGCCAGGCTTGGGCAGAGGCCTCTCCAAAGTGCCCTGGGCCCCTGAAAGGCCCTGCTCAGAGGAGGGCTACCCAGCCTTTGCAGTGCCTCCCTGACAGCCTCTGACTGCATCGGGCCTCTGTCCTCGCCTAGACACCAGCAGCAGCCTTGCTATCCCTGGCCCGCAACCTCACTCCAACCTCCGCTCAGCAGCCGTAGATGCCTTTCCACGACAGAATTCCTGGGAGCTGTGCAAAGGGCAGGTGCCTGGGGCTTCCCAGTGCCTACCGACTGCAACAGATCACAGCCCAGCCCTGTCCAGTAGAAATATAATGCAATCCATTATACGAATTAGCCTACACAATTTTACATTTTCTGGCAGCCACAATTTTAAACAGGAACAAGCAGGTGAAATTAATTTTTATGGCATTTTTGATCTAACACAGTATATCCAAAACAGTATTATTTCAACAAGTAATAGTATAAAACAATTATCAATGAACTCTCGTACAGTCTTTCTTCAGCCTCAAAATCCAGTGTGTGTCTTGGACTTAAGGTGTATCTGGATTCAGACTTCAAATTTTTTTATCAGAAATCCTTATTCTGTTTTTGGATTTCATAAAATGTACTGTTGAATATCAATTCACATGCTCAAATGGTAAGAAACATTCTTAAAAGTTTTCCAATTATGGGATTAAGTATCAGTTTTTACATTTTAATTAAAGCTACACAGGATTGAGAATTCTTCAGCTGCAGTGGCCATAGGTCAAGTGCTCAAAGGTCATGACCACTGGGTTGGACACTGTGGCTTAGGGCTTGCTCTGAAGCATAGCCCCTGAGCCGTTATCCTTCAGTGGAGCACCTGCACCTCCCAGGCTGGTTAACTGCTCCCCGTGGCTTGCAAACCCAACACCATCTGGCCCCAACCTTCCTCTATTTTCCAACCCTACACAGGGAGCCAGCCACCCAAACCAGGACACACTGCTCTCCTCCATGTGCTAAATGCCCTGCTCCCCTTCAAGACCTGACTCAAGTGTCACCCCCTCCAGGAAGCCTTCCTCAACTCCTCCAGGCAGGCAGTAGCTCCCTCCTCTGCATCCCCTCTTTACTCAAGGCATTTCTCTGTAACAGCTCATACTATGCTATTATTGTATTTATATACATATATATGTATCACTGGGGGTGGAGACGGGGTCATTATGACACAATGGGAACCATGCTGCGATGAGGAAAAAGTAGTGAGCAAATTTTGCCCAAAAGCACTATATAAATGTAAGGCAGTATTTGTCATGGTTTGTGCAGTGTGGTCTAGAGGGAAAAGTCCCGGATTTGACTTTAACAAATCTGGTTTCAAATCCAGACTCTTTTACCTAAAAGCAATGACATAGGACCAGTCACTTAGGTTTTCTGAACCTGAGTTTCCCCCTAAAACTGAGATTAATGTCATTCACCTCCACTGGGGAAATGAATCCCAGAGCAGCATTGTGCCAAAGAAATATGTGAGGATTAAATGAAAATAAGGGATTTGAAAGTGCCTCACACAGTCCCTGGCACGCAGCAAGGGTGCGACAAAATGCGAGCTGCACCAGAGCCCGGAGAAGCTTGCACAGCCTGAGCACTAAGCCAAGGGCCATCTTTCAGACATGGTTCCCCTCTGCTGGGCCCTCACTGGCTGCTGGGGATGGCGAAGAGCATCCCAAGAGAGACTATGGTTTCTGAAGGAAGCAAGTGTGGAGAAGCTCTCAGGCCCCACTGAGCTGGAGTAAGCCAGCACCGGGCTGCAGGCCCAGCTTCTGACCCCAGGGCAGGTGGGCAGCCACACAGACCCAGCTGCACAGGCAGCCGCCCTGGCGCTGAGCCTGGAGGCCCGGAGCCCCAGGAAAGCATCACTCAAGGGCTGAGCAGACGGGCCCGCAAATCTTGTCGAGGGGAGATTATTGTGTGATGGGTTTATTGGACATTCCCTGGTTTAGGGAGTTATTTGACTTTTCCTTTCTTTTGTTTCTAATAAGTGAGAAACGAAAAAAGTTTCAAAGTTTAGAACAGAGATCATAAAAGGGAGTCAGATCAATACCACAAACAGGTTTGAGTGGACTTGGTTTGTGAAAGAATAAAGACCAGGAAACAGGGCAGGGGAGAGCACGGCTGGGAATGGGCTGTGAGCAGTCTGTGGCCGGGGCGCCCTGGGTCACCTGGAGAAAGACTAGGGAAGGCAGGCGGGTGGGGGGGTAACAGAGATAGAGAGGAAAAACAAGGCAGAGTGGGAACTCAGGGCGGTTTCCCCTGGGTATCGAGCGACAGGGGCCAGGGTGAGGGACGCACTGAGATGTGGGACCAACAACCGGCTCCACAGAACCCAGTTCTGGCCCCCAGGCCCAACACTAACTTGCTGTGTGACTCTGGGCAAACACCTTTCCTCCCTTGGGCCTGTGTCTCTGGTGTCCATAGAGCTTGGGTGAGAAGAGGGAAAACTGTCCCCTCTGCCACCAGCTGCTGAGGATGAAAAGTAGGAGACAGGCTCCTTGCGTTTATGGATTTGGCCCCCAGCAGAGGGGAGGTGCTCCCTTTAACTTTCCGGAGTCAAAACTGCCCTAAACTTCCTCAGGCAAAGACCTGTTGCTGCCCTTGACAATGAGAGCCAGAGAAAGGGGAGCAACGAAGGGCCCGACAGGCTAGGCAGCGGGGAGGCTCAAGGGACTGGCGTGGAGGGGTTGCGGAGTGACCACCCACTCCTCCACCCCACATCACTGCTGTTCATGGAACACTGAGTCCCTGAATCATCACAGAGGGCTCACTGCCAGCAGGTGCCGGGCTGTCTCACAGGGGACTGTGATGAGCAAGACAAGGCCATGGCAGGGGGGCCCCCACACTAGGACCAGGGGGCATGGGAATGGGTGCTGAGGGTCCCCAGGGCTTGCCAGCTCACCACTGAGGACACCTTTCCCTTTAGACCCCCGTTGCACAGCCTGCAGCCCTCTCCCCCATGCCCCACAGGACTCCAGCCCCACCCCAAAGTCCTCCTGCACTACCTGTGAGAGGGCTCAGGCTGGCGGCTCAGCAGCCCCCTTTGTCCTGGACTCACACATTAGGCCCCAGGACCCAAAGCCATGACACTTCAGGCCAAAGGCTCGTGCAGGCCCTTCAGCTTCTGGCTTCAACCACTGTCTCCTCAGGCACTCGGCCCATCAAACAGGGCAGGGGGACAGACATGACCCCAGCCCCTCACACTGGGTCCCACCCTACCTTCAACCCACATGTGTCACTGAACACCATCCTCTCTCAGAAAAACACATAAAAAACCCTTTGCCTATCAGCTCAGGCTAACAGACACCAGAGGGCCCAGCAGCCCATGAGTTCTACAAACTCTGCTCCCAGTTTGCGCCCATCTGGGCATCCTGCTGCTGACAGATAAAACTGACCTTGTACTCCTCTTGAGAAAAATCCAACCCAAAAGAGAAGATGAGACCAAGACAGTGAGAATATACAGGAGAAGGAGCTTAACGCCATAAATCAGTGCCAGATGAAGTGTTACAGTAGGTTAAGGGACAAAGACGTGACTTTCATCTGGAAACATCAGGTGCCACTTCATGCAGAGGTAGTATCCAAGGTGCATTTAAAAAATGGGAAAAATTTAAGATGTAGCAAGGGGAACTCAGGCTTTCCAAGAAGAGGGAACAAAATATGCAAAAGCCACATTTGAGAAGAATGTTGGGCAGATATGACAAAAGGGAGGGATGGTATTGCCACATTACTGATGGATCACAGCACTTGTCTAGGAAGCTGTGGATCATTAGATGGGCAGTTGGGCAGGGTAGGTTTCAAAGAAATCTCTTTGCTAGTCTGTCTGCAGGGGACCAATGGAACTATGAGCATCTGAAAGGGAATTTGTAGGAGAGAAAGCAAAAGGGGTAGGTTGAGGCTGGATTATGCAAGGTCATCCAACCTGTCAGTCATCCCACATGCGCAATTCCTTCCTTTTGGAAATATCTTGCCCTTTGCCCTCTGTCAAGTGTCTCCAAGAGGGGCTATGCGGGACTAACTAACACTGAGGCATTTATAACAGTGTCATGGAAACTCCTGGATATCAGCTTGAGTTTTTGAAATTGTGGACCACTTTCTTGGGGATTTTAAGTGTATATCTCTGGGCTCTGCCACCAGAAATCCTTATTCAACAGGCTGGTGAACATTTTGCATTTTCAAGTGCTGACAAGTCCCCCTTGTCCTTATAGAAGATAAGCCTGGTGTCCAAAGTTCCCACTGATTTTCCCTATAGTCACCCTGCGGAAGTTATCTGATGCTGTGGAACGAGTCATCCCAAACTCAGTGGCTTAGAGCAACAACCATTTGATCATCTCTCACAGTTCTATGGGTGAACTAGACTCAACTGGGCAGTTCAGCTGGTCTCGGGTGGTCTGTCATGCAGCTGCAGTCAGAGGCAGCCGGGGCTGCCATAGCCTGGGCCTCTACTGAGCTGGAACATCCAAGATGGCTTGAGTCCCTCCCAGCTTCTGGCCTGCAGACAAGGGA